GGAATGCACAGAACGGGGTGCCGAGATACCGTGAGCTCCGAATACAGGGGGGAATGCACAGAACGGGGTGCCGAGATACCGTGAGCTCCGAATACGGGGGGGAATGCACAGAACGGGGTGCCGAGATACCATGACCTCTGAATACAGGGGGAATGCACAGAACGGGGTGCCGAGATACTGTGACCTCCGAATACAGGGGGGGAATGCACAGAACGGGGTGCTGAGATACCGTGACCTCCGAATACGGGGGGAATGCACAGAATGGGGTGCCGAGATACCGTGACCTCCGAATACAGGGGGGGAATGCACAGAATGGGGTGCCGAGATACTGTGAGCTCTGAACATGGGGGGAATGCACAGAACGGGGTGCCGAGATACTGTGAGCTCTGAACACACAGGGGGAATGCACAGAACGGGGTGCCGAGATACCGTGACCTCCAAATACAGGGGAATGCACAGAATGGGGTGCCGTGTTTTGCCGCAGAGAGGTGCCGCCTCCCCTCGGCTTCTCGGGTTAGCTCCGCCCTTGCCCCTTCCCCACTATCCCCGGGGTGGTGATGCCACAGGGCCTGCTGGATGGGCAGCTTCCTGGGATCTTCAGCTTTTCCGAGCAGACTGTGCGGGCTCACCTGGCAGCCGGTGCTTGGAGCTGAACCTGCCTGCCTGTCACTGATCCATAGCTCTCGACGGTGTCCAGAGAGTTGCCCTTAATGCATTTTTCCTGTGAAGACACAGTGTCTTCTTCTTCCCACTCCTTGTGTCTCCCCACGGCCCACCCTCACTTCCCTTCTGACCCAATGTCCTCTTGGAAAGTCAGGGGGCCCATGTGGGGATGACACACGGAAGGCCTCCCTACCCAAAATCCTGGTGCCCGGCCGCATTCCTGACCGGTCACATCAGCTCTCGGGGTTGATGTTGGGTCCAGCGACCCAACACTGCCACCAAGACTGACGGGACAGCTACTGCCTTAAAGGGTCCATCTGAATAGGGACCGGAACTTCACAGAAAACGAACATCTGAAAAGAGGCTAGGTGATGAGTTTGTATTGAAAAGTGAATCCAGAATGAAGAAGGCGGGTTAAATTCGCCTGATGTTTAACACACTTGATTTATGCCGGCAGAATTGAAACTCTAAGTGCAGGGCCAAGAAAAAGTTCCCACCAACAAGTAAATAACAAGCAAGACAATGCCCAGGACTTGGTCAGTGCTATGCAGAGCTTCTCCTTCCTCTGGTCTGCAGTGTCTGTCCCGTGGTCTTTGGAGACTGTCTCACCCTTGCCAGCTAGCTGGTTCTAAGCCGCCAGGGACCCTCCTATGGTTCAGGTCGCTCCCCAGCACCTGTCCATCACTTTCAGGAAACCCCTCATCTCCCACAAGATGTGCAATTTTACTTCTCAGTTGATTTCCAAAGGTGGTGGCATTTAAACTCTTTGACTATGAAATAGTAAGAGGGACCAAGTCTACACAGGTATAGAGAACAAGAGGATGTCACTTGGGATTACACCTGGTTGTACTTGACCAGAAATTCAAGGTAACAGTGGTGTAAGCAGGAAAGAAATGTGTGTTTTCTCTCCCAAGTTCAGGGATTAACAGCACGTGTGGTGTTCCCGGGGGCAGGAACTCAGACCCTCCATCCTCTTGTTCCTCCACCCTCAGTACATGGCTGTCTCTACCTCACACAGCAGTGTGGCTGCCCATGCGCTGCCATCACACCTGATTTCCAAGTTGCAGGAGGGTAGAAGGAAGGCAGGAACAGAGATTTACTCATCTCGTTTCTTTCAGGACAATTCCCACCTCTAGTCACACACTGTGTCCCACACCCAGTTGCAGGGGACACTTGGAAATGCAGGCTTCACTCTGAGCAGCCATGCACCCAGTTAAAAACCAGGGGTCCATTATCAAGAGACAAGCAGGTTGCACATCAAGAGACAGTCTGCAGGTGTCGTGGCCATCGAGATAGGCTGGTTGTAGGCTCTGCAGCCCCAGGCATCCTACTTATTACTAACCACTGGGTACCTTTTAATGCCAAGACAAGTGTTTTCCACAAGGTTTTAATTTACTTTTAAGGCCATCCAGACACGGCTCACCTTCCCTCCCCAAGATCTCATTTCTATACAAGCTCTCAGCCACTGCAGTGTATCCATTAGTACTTCTCACCCTGCATCATCTGAATTAAAGACTGAGTCAAAGATCACTTGGGTTTTCACCTGAATCTCCTACTAAAAAATGTTCATTCCCACTGGGGGACGCCCGACAGACCCTGGAAGACACAACGAAGCGAGGAAGCGTACTGATGATGTATATGTGATCTCGGCCACTCTGGAAGTTCTCATGGTCGCCCGGGACGCATAAACAGGTCACTGTTCACGTTGCAAGGTCTTGGGAAACTGAACTCTTTTTGGGAGGGATCCATGAGTCAGAGTTTGGTGAGGAACAAAGGAAGAATTTACATTTATCAGAAGATACAGCGAAGTTCCTTCTTGCTTCCTGTTTGGCCTCTACAAATAGTGTTTAAAACAAAAATCCCTTGTGGTCAAAGTTATCAGTGGGAACTCCCCGCGTGCGGCCTGCTTGAGCGTGATACGCCGAGTCACGCACACAGGCAGGTGTGAGCACCGCCGCCTGAGGTTAGGGAAAGCCAGCCTCTGCAGGTCTGGTGATCAGATGGTCCCTGTTTTAGATGGCGAATTGAATCCCTAAGCAGGACGTGGGGAAACCCTCCCTGTTTCCCGGTGGGGGTGGTTTCCTTCTGTCTTCCTAAGGCCTAGGTAGCCACGCCCCCTTTCTTCCAGTGAGGAGTTCCCGGGAGAGCAAAGCCAGGCCCCCTGCTCTTGCCCCAGGGCCTGGGGCCTCCCAGAGAACAAACGGAGCTCCCTCCCCCGCCTGGAGCCAAGCCACACAGAGCCCTCGGGGTCAGAGTCAGTGAGGACACAAGGGACAGAGCAGCGAAGCCCCAGGTTTCTCAGAACAGAAACCATGGCCAAGAGGAAGGACAAGTAGTTTCTAAGAGTATCTCACAGACTCTAAAGGAACCTCTGGCACAAGTGAATACAAAGAAGGTGGGGGTGTCCTTTAGTTCAAAGGAGTGACCTCATCTTTATCTCTGGCCCCATCTATTTTAAAGAGATTATGTTACAATCTACTTTCAGACTCATAGGTAGGCCTTGAAAATCCAGACTATGAAACGTCTTTCCAAAAATGTAAACAATTCAGCTAAATCACAAAAGCTTTCTCTGTAGAAAGGAAAAATGAGGGTGGTGCAGCCTTTCTCAGCAGAGGGCCTGGAATCACCGCGCACAGCCCAAAGCCTCTGTAATCAGACGGAGCGGAGCTCCGCTAGAAACGGATTTTCTTCTTTAGCATCTCATATAGAAATATGCTAAGTATTTACCCAAACCGGATTTTCTTCTTTAGCATCTCATATAAAAATATGCTAAGTATTTCCCCAAACCAGAAAGGTTAGCAACCAGACATCCCCAAGAAACGGGAGCCAGGAGCCTAGTCATTCCGCGTGAGGAGCTTGACTTGGTTTTTGGTGCCCATGCCTCCATTTTAAAAATACCTGGAAAAACCACTTACAAAGTCTAAAGATCTGCTGATTTCCAGCCACTGAGAAGGCTTCCTTCCCTCTGTCCTTTTCTGGCCCCTCTTCCCGGACCTCTAGACGCATTTAGAGGCTCAGCAGGCATATCAACAACTGTGATTGGAAAGGCACCTGCATTTGTGACTTGGGTGGGCTGTCACTGACAGGGAAGGTCAGGTGAACCCCCGTGTCCCAGGCGCGGTGCTCAGTGCGGGTAACAGCGACCTTCCCCAAAGCCCCAAGCTCCTGGAGAACAACAGAGGTTAAGAGATGTCCCCGACTTTCACGTTCCGGAAAGGACTTACTGCAGAGGACCCCCTTCCCCACACGACTGGGGTGCACTCAAAGCCAGCGCACCTGTCCCCGAATCCCCGCCCGGTCTCATCAGGGATGGGCTGACGTGCTTTTCCCCACTGATCAACCAGACCACATGCCTGCTCGCCACGCTGTGTCCAAGCTTCCTTGTCCTTCCCGGGCCTGTCCGGTCTCCGCTGAACCAGCAG